TGTGTGTGTGTGTGTGTGTGTGTGTGTGTGTGTGTGTGTGTGTGTGTGTGGGCGCGTGCACATGTATGCATATGGAGGCCAGAGGGGGATATTGTTTTCCTTAACCACTTTCTACCTTCCTTATTTATTTATTTATTTATTTACTTACTTACTTACTTACTTGTATCCTTATTTGAGACAGGATCTCAAGGCCTGGAACTCTCTATGAAGACCAGGCTGGCCTTGAACTCATAGAGGCCCACTTGCCTCCGAAGTGCTAGGATTAAAAGCATGCACTACCATGCCTGGCTTCCACCTTATTTTTTGGGACAGGGTCTCTCACTGAACCCAGAGCTCCTCAGTTTGGTCAGATGAGCCCTCTGGCTGGGGAGCCCCGGGGATCCTCCTGTGTCTACCCCCCAGCACTGAGGTTACAGGCTTGTGCTGCTACACCTGGTGTGACCCGGTGCTGGGGAATGAACTCAGGCCCTCAGGCTGGGTGGCAAGCACTTCACTGAGATGTCTCTTCAGCCCCTGGCTGCACCGCATGAGGCTATCCAGGCTTTAGTGATGCCAACAAAACACGGAGACACAGTGAGTTAGAAGGGAGCTAAGTAGATGCCGTGTGAAAATCAGAACTGGTTGACTTCTGTAGTCATGCTCACTGTCCATGGTCCTAAGTAGGGTCTCCCCCCGCTTTTAATGCCCCTTGTTTTACTGCCCCGAAATCTAAAAGCCACTGACCTAACCTGTCCCTAAATGGACAGAAGAGGGGTCAGGACCCTGAGAGGTATTTGGTTTGCTGGGGTCACCAACAAGAGTGCGTTGTCCCACTTTGGTATGGTAATGGGGGAGCTAGGCAAAGAACTGTGAGAGGGAGCCCAGAGGAAAAGCCTCTCTCCACAGAGCCAGCAGGAAGGGGACAGCCCTGGCTTCCTCTCCAGCTAGGACTCCCTCTCCCGGTAGTCCTCAGCGCTGTGTAGGCTAGACACCTTCTGTAACCCCTCTGGTTGAGTTCCAGCCCATAAAATCAGAATGTGAATGGCTGGAGGATTTAATAAGATAACACGACTCTGGCTGGCCACAGTCAGTGCTTAGCCACATGACCCTTTCTGAACCCGGGGAGGGGAGCCACATGCAGGTGGTTGTCCCCTTCTGTCAGAGGATACTGAGGAAGGCAGAGGAATCTGAGCTGCAGAAGGGTCAGACAGAGGTCACTCAGGTCCTTGTCTACTAGGTTCACAATAGACTGGAGAGGAAGTGAGCTCTCCTCGCAAGATGTGTGTGTACAGGCTGGCGTCTTTTAGTGGGAATTTAGAAAAAGATTGATTGGCACATTTTATGAGTGTTACTTATTAGTTATGTGTGTGCAAACATGTGTACGTACATGTATGCACACGTGTGTAGAGGCCAGAGGTCAACCTTGCTCTGGAGTCGTTCCTCAGGAGCTGTCTACTTTGTTTGAGGCCTGGGCTCAGCGATTGGGCTAGGCTGGCTGGCCAGCAAGTCCCAGAGCTCCTCCTACCTCTGCTTCCGAAGTGCTGGCAGTTAGTTACAAGGGTATGCTGTCTGGCCTGGCTTTGGACTTGGTACTGGGTCTTCATATTTGTGTGGCAAGCACTTTTACCTGATGGAGCCATCTCCGTAGCCTCCCCAACTGTGTGGACTCTAGTTCTAGGATGGGGAACTTTATCCACCCTATTTCACTGCTCCCGGATGCCGAAGGGCAGCACAGTATAAATGCATTCAGGCTGTGGTCCCTCAGGAAACGCCCAGTGCATGAATGGATGAATAGATGAATGGATAAATGGAGGTGTGGTCCACAGGAAACAGTGCTTACAGAGTCTGAACGGTTGGATGGGACTGTGTCTCCCTTGTCCAGACACCTAGCTCATTATAAGCTGAGCAGAGGTGTACTAAGATACCTTGATACTGCCCAGCACACATAGGCAGCATAGTTTTTTATGTTTTTTTTTTTAAATATTTTTTAATGTATATAAATATCTGGCCACATGTATGTCTGTGTACCACATGCATGCAGTGGCCTTGGAGGTCAGAGAGGGCATCGGATTGACGAGAACTGGAGTTGCAGGTGGTTGTGAGTTGCCGCCATGTGGGTAACTGGGAACCGAACCCTGGGTGCTCTGCAAGGGCAGCCAGTGCTCTCAGATGCTGAACCATCTCTCCACCCTTTGTGGCTGCTATTTTAAGTCAGATATGTAGCCCAGGTTGGCCTTAAACTTGCCATCCTCTTGCCTCAGCCTCCCAAGGGCTGGGATAGCTTTTTGTTTTAAGCCGAGAGACCAGATGTGAAGACCACCCGCACACCACTCAGTGCTGTGGTTTAAGGCTGCTTAAATATGGTGGAGCTCGGCAGGGTTTCTTACTGTGTGTGAACATCAGTGTCCTCAGATGTAAAACTGGTAATGGCGGCTACCTCCTGAGGTGCTGGGAGGTCTGAGGAGAGCCAGTGTGCCCGAGAGCCACCAAAGGCTGCTGTTACTTTTGGTTCCTCCCTGTAGCTGCCCACAGTATCCATCTGGTTCTGAAGGGACTCACGCATTTGTCTTCTGTAGCTTCTTGAAGGGAGGCACACCAGGGATTAAACCTCATTTGACAGGGGAGGGTGGAGATGTGAGGTTAAGTGATCTCATAAGGGTAGCGTTCAGTCATTTTCTGGCCAGAGAGAGGTACCTCAGCCCATACATTGCCCTCATGTCATCCCCGCAGACTCAAGGAGTAGTCAGCCCTGATGCTCACTTGGTGGGGAAGGTGATGTCCAAGGAACACAGAGAGGTCGTTTGCTGAGGACCACACACCTCAGAAGTGAATGACAGACTTGGAGCTGTCTCTGGAATGCACAGCTTCCCAGATCCTGGGAGCTTGGTGTCCTGGGGACAGTACAAGGCACATCCCTGAAGGTTTTCAGTCCCCTAGAGTAGATGCTCTGGTAAGCCCTGTCCCCAAGCTCAGAGAACACCTCCTGCCACCAAGGTGACTGAATCCGCCTTGAGGATTCACAGGAAGCTGGGATGAATGCTGCATGGGTTGCTTATAGGTGACCTTTGCCCTCAACCCTGGCTCAGTACTGTGGTCTCACCTCTGTAGGAGTTCCTCTGTGACCAGAAGTACAGCGATGAAGAGAACCTGCCGGAAAAGCTTGCAGCCTTCAAAGGTGAGCCAGGGCTGCCTGCCCAACTGCCCCCGGAAGAGCTGGCTGCTCCCTCAGCCATGGCATACAGGACTCCTTGGCCCCACAGCTCTCATTTTTCTAGAATGCCCAGCTTCCCGTCAGGCTTTGAGACAGGGGTCCCCCAAGAGGCAGGAGCAGGCCCTTTCTTCTTCCTCCGCCACTGGACCTCTGGCTGCAGGCCTGATCTGGCCCTGCCCTCTGTCCCATGGTTGCCCAGTGTGGCTCAGGTTGGCTCCTATCCTCTCCATCCAGGCCCTGTGCACTCCCAGGGCCCCAGCATACAATCTGCCCTTTGTGAGCAGTCCCTGCCTCTCCCCCTCCCTGGTGGAGCCTCTCAGGAGCCCCTGTGGAGAATAGACATTTGTGTCGCTGCAGTGGGCCAGGGGGGCAGAGTTTCTGCCCATTGAATCCCAACAGCATGGGATGAAAAGAACACAGGGCTCAGGAGCCTGCGCGGGGAGAGGGGCAGTATAAAGGTTCCTCTGTTCGGGGCCTTGGTACTTGGTCCTCCGCCAGTGGCCCGAAAGGAGAGGAGCCTGGGCACACAGGGAGTGGGCAGACCCACCTTTCCTGCCTCTGGGGCGCACTGGGGGGATGGGAACCCAGCGCTCTGCAGAGGACATCCAGGATGTCCTATCCCTTTCCCAAGCGTTTGCAGTGTGGGCATCCTTCCCATTCCAAGGCCAAGTACCTGCCAGGGCGCTTGCCTGCCTCGTCTGGCTCACAGCGTCTCGGCCAGGACGGAGAGGGCGGTGATATTAATAATGGTCGGCAGGTGCTGAGTGTCAGTCCGAGTCAATAAAGCCCCGTTCAGCAACAGCCGGCGTGCTCTGCTGACCCCTTCCCCATCCGTTAGGAGGCAGATGGTGACACTGTTCATTCACAGGCCAGCACACTCGGGCTGGGGGAGGTAGGACTGCTGGCAGAGGGATCCCATAGCTCACTTAGGGCAGAGTTGAGACTTAAGCCCTGTCCGTCTGTGTCTAGAGCCCCAGGTCTCAGCCTAGGTATATGATGTCATGGAGTGGGGAGCCTGCAGGAGAGGTGTGCAAAGGGCACAGGGGCCCACTCCTTATAGTGGGGTTCTAGGAAGAAAAACAGGATCTTGGGCTCTGAAGTCACATCTCCATTGGGAGGTAAGGTTGGGTCTGTTGAGCAGGGAGTCCTAGGGAAGCATAGTTTAGTTGGAGAGACGCAAAGACCCTCAAGCCATTCACTCTAATGTATCCGATGGGTGCTCACTGTATCCGATGGGTGCTCACTGTATCTGATGGGTGCTCACTGTATCT